AGGAGGAGAATGGAAGGACATGAAGAGGAAAGGATTTGGAGGATGAGGAGGTAGCAAAAGAAAAGGAAAGGGAGAAATAAAATAATAATAAAAGATGGAGGAGGAGCAGTGGAGGGAAAATGAGGAGAATAAACATGGAGGAGGAAGAGAAGAAAGGAGAGGAAGGCTGTTCTACATGGCTGATCTCCACATTAAAGCAGCTTTCTGACCTCCGCAGATCCGTGTAGCCCAAACTTTGTTCCTGCTGCAGGAAGTAAAATTTCACATGCATTAAAAACCCAAAAACTGAAGCTGAGTCAGCATCTTTGTTAATGAACATAGCTAATGAGACTCTGGAAGCACGAATGAACAAATAAAAAAAGAACAACAAAGGAAAAAAGGGGTCTAATTGTGTTTTGCGAAGCAGAAAGAACCACGGCGTTTATTTCAGAAAACTGCAGCTTCAAGTGAAAAACACTCAGGTGGTATCACAATTCATTCACTATCATATAAGCTTTAGGACATTTTTAATGAGCAATACTGTGTTTTACTATATTATTGTTTACAGCAGATTCCACTTATGGCCGAACTGCATCAAAAACACAAACGTCCTTGAATCTGCTTACATTAATCGACACGTCCTCGTACATAAATTACAAAACAGGTCGATTGTCAAGGTTCCTTAAACGGCATTTACTTTATGTCCGATGGAAAGTGCAACCACATATGGCCCTTCCACAAAACGACATGTACGAACGTTGACAAGTACAGTCCATTAACAGACGTATCGCACCTTCAGTACGTTACGCATGTCACATGACGTTTAACACGTTGTGAAACTATTGTAGTTTGGTTAGGTTAAGGAAAATATTGTGGTTTGGGTTAAAATAAGTACATCATGCAAGTCACATGACTCGGGATGGGTATCGTTAAGATTTTAATGTAGTATTTCTGCTCTTACCAATACTGCTTATCGATACGCTACTTTAACAGTATTCTTATCAGTTCTGTTTATTTAAGAGAAAACAAAACGTAAACAAATTAAGAAAGAGAAGGATCTCTCTTCTGGATTGGGTAAAGCAAAATACATCATGGACGATTGAGTCTTATTACAAATTAAACCCGGTTGGTGAGATAAGATAATGTTTATGTAGCAATGTTTTCTTAATTTCTCTACCTACTGATGACGACGGAGCTTGTTAATATTTAGGTCTTTCTTTATTTACCCCCGAGCCCGTTTAATACCATTTACCATCCATGTCGGTCTATGTCGCCATCTTGTGGCTGATTCGTAATAACTACACTCAGAAAAGAAAAAGATTGTGTTCCTCTCACTGAGAGTTAAATATGATGTTATACTGTAGAGAATAATGCAGCTGAATGACGTCGCATCTGACAAACTGTACCGCACTCGACCTTAAACAGCGGTCACGTACTGTCATCAACAGCATAAGCCAATGATTAATAAACTATCTAAAACAACACGTTACTCGCTAAGATAACAAGATTGTAAAAATGGGATTATACATGTCTTTTCTTTGTTTTGATATCGGTATTATATATCTGCCATTAGCCGGCCTGCTCTCTAAATATCGGCTTCAGCCAGTGAAAAACCAATATCGGTCGACCATTAGCCTTAACTCTCAAACAGCCCTTTGAAGGCCAAAATGTCCTCACTACCAAGGTCTAAAACTCAAACTGGTCCTCACAAAGACAGATGCGCGCACACACAGACACACGCATGGTCTCAGCAGTTTTCACACAGCTAAAGAGAGTTTTCTTCCATCAGCGAGTTAAAAGAAAGAAAGAGCACTTTGATGTCCTTTAACCATCACACAGCAAAAACGGTAACAAGGAGCTCAAAACACCTGAACTCTCTTTTCCACACACACACACACACACACACACACACACACACACACACACACCAGCTTCAACAACAGACCTGATTACAACAAAGGTGTTGAGCTCTGAATGCTGACAGGAGAATAGCTGAGCAGAGAAGAAGAGGAAAGAGGAGAGGTGGTGAACAGGGATTATAAAACTGAGTCAGAGAAATGAGAAGAAAGACTGGAGCTAAAAAAGAGAGAGGAAAAGAGGGATGAAAGGGAACAAGAAAGAAAATGAACCAGCAATAACACAAAATAGTAAGTTTCTATCCACCCCACCACATTTGGTATATGCAGAAAAACAGTAAAGGATTGTGTATAGTGTGTGTACAAATTTTAGAGCTTCAGAAATAAAATAAAAGACACAGTCACAATTGTGAATGGTGGAATTAAACAGAGAGACAAAGCCCTGATCACTCAACATCCAGTGCTCCCTAATGATCTTGATGCTGTAAGAGAGCAAATCCCTGCAGCAGGTTCAACATCTGGTGGAAAGCCTGAAACCAGAAGAGTGGCGACTGTTAGAGCAGCAGATTAATGCACATTGTTGAAGGAGGGTGCAATCATCAGGTGTCCACATACCTTTGTTGAGGTGTCTTCTTTCTCTTGGAGAGATAAAATGAGTGAGAAGCTGCTCATCCTGCTCGAACTGATATAGCAGCCACTTCAATCAGACAGGAAGAGATTAGTCTGTACACACACACACACACACACACCAGAGCCACTTACAGAGTTATTAACTACACACACTCCCACATTTCATCTCACGATCACATACTCAACCAATTGTGGTCTCTCTCTCTAAACACACACAAACACACCTCAATACTTCTGCATTGAAGCAGCAGCTCCGGATGTAATCTCATGATGGGTGTAAGCTCTTTATTTGACCTGCCACTTAACTTGCTGCGTAGTATTACCAATTCCAACCAACTCGAGTCGTGCAAGGACTCATACTAAAAACGGCAGTACCCCATACTCATATTGGGTCATTTATTTTGACAAACAACAAATTAGCTGTACATCTGTCAACACTGGTTCTATTCTGAATATCCTTAAATACAAAATGAAAATCAGTTTCTAAATCACAAAAACAAAATTCATCACAAGGCAGAGATGTCGTTTTGAGATCAAACTCAATTCTTTTTTATTTAAAGTGGTGGGACATATTCAAAATTTATAAACAAACTTTCATGCTAACTTTGAAATAAATAGGGTCACATTTATTAAAACTAAGTCATTTAGCTTTCTTTTACTGCTGCTTTCCTGATTTGTGGCTTTGATTTGGTTTAATCCTCTGGACTGTTAAATAAATAGGTCTTCTTTTAGATTGTATTATTATTTCTTTGGCATAAATTTTCATCAGTAAAACAATTACAATCTGAAATTAAAAACAGACTAAAAGAAAATCACATTGCAGTGTGGTTTTGACTTGAGATGGTTCACTGAATCATAAGAAATCAAGCACAAATATTACAAACTGGAAGTGGAATAGACATCACTCTATAAGTAATTCGACAAATCTACCCTTTTCCTGAAATAACACCATAACCTCTCCTCATATCAACAAAATGAAGTCGAGAAACATGTACTGAGTCGTTACTTAAGTAACTTTATATACAGATTTTCTGTTAATCAGCCTGTAAACAAACAAAATGCCAAAAACTTAAAGACTACAACAGCAGACCTAAACACAAACTGGACTAAAGGATCATAAAACATTCTCAGTAAATGTGAGGTAAAGATTTACACATTATGATAAAAACACATTTTAAAGGCGTTGAAAAGTCCAAAGTGCCCAAACTGACACAAATACCTGGACAAGAACATTCATCAGTTGCTCAGTCTGAAAAATCCATAAGCACAAACAAGACATGAACATAAAGAAAGTTATTTACCTCTGTGTACCTTGTTAGATCAGAGACAAGATAACAGATCAATCCAACTACTTTAACCCTACAGAGTTGGAGTGAAGACAACTGTGAAAACAGTCATGTCCTCCAAACACCTCGTCTCTTTGTGCTTTCAATTAATCACCGAGTGCGAATACGTTTGTTGTTTAACTTCGAAAATAACGTCATTTACAACAGTGACTCCAGCCTGCTTCTAACTTTAAAGAAGTAGAGAAAGAAATACACACACCTCTCGCTTCCATCCTCCTCTCTTGCACTCAGACACCAAAAGATAACTCTGAAGCTTTTTTCTATTACTTGGATTTTTCATATTTTACCCAATTGACCGTGCAACTTGAAATATTTGTTAATAATTGTAAAAAAAATTCCTGTCAATTGTTTTCCAAAACAAATGTTTAAATGTTGTTTTACTTTCTCTACATACTTTGCATATAAAATACCCACCATGCAATCATTTTTAATTGTAGAATTTAAAGTGGCTTCCATGAGATAATCTCCATATATTTTCTGTAACGCTTGGTTTAACCATTAATTTCCTAATAATTTCGGACTCTTTTTCTTCACAGGACCATAATGTGAAAGCACGATGAGGAGACCATGAAATCAGAAACATGAGAAATCATGTCTAATGGTTCCCTCTGCCCTTTTAATTATTTTCCTTTGAACTCTTTTCCCAGTGAGTAGGATTAAAATGCAAACAAGAAAGAGGTATGTAAGTTTAATTTTAAGCAAAAATATCTTAAATCTGCCCTCAGAAGCCTAATCTGATTCATCCTCATATTTCTTCCTTTTTCAGCTTTAGAAATCTACAAAAACACAGTTGCAAAGTGGGTCAGGCAAACTGGTAAACGTGGAGAAAAAAAAACAACTTCCGATGACCAGAAGCTCAAAACTCTCAGCTTTCTTATGATGTCAAGCCAATTAGGCGACATCAAAAAAATTGTTCCCCTTTCTCCTCCTCAGATGACCGTTAACTCTCGACACCCGGAAAATAACTTGTTCGTAAACTGCTTTAAATCTACCTTTAAGGTCCCTCTTCCTCCCCTTGGACAACAAAAACATGAAAGGGCTCAGCAGCTACAAAGATTCCTCTGGAAGAAGAAGAAAGCTAAGGCACCCGTCCTCCTCCCTCATCTCTCTCTGTTTTTGGCGCTCCTGCAGAGATGAGCGGTGTAATGGGAGGATGAAAGGAAAATAAAAACCAAGACTCTAAAGTAGTGAAAAGGCTGTTTTTTAATCTCTCTGTCCTTTTACATTTTCTATTCTTTCTCTGTAATTTATTCTAATGGAACTCCTTACACTTACCAAACTGAGCCTGACATAGGCCGAACCACTTAACATTTTACCCCAAAGACGAGGGCATTATCGTGTCTGGTGAAACTATTTCTGTCACTGAGGAGACGATCACTTCAGAAGGCTGAGTTATTAGGGAGGGAAGGATTGCCTGTTTCATTTCATGTCTGAAACTTAAATTTTGTCCTTATATGGATGTAGATTTGTTAGAAAAAAATATCTTTATATCCTAAAAACTGAAACCAAATGGAAAACAATTACACCGGCTCTCACCTGATTGATGGCAGGATTGTGTTAACGTCAATACATATGTGTGGATGTGATATCTGTGTCTCTGTTAAATGTCCTCTTCTATCGCTTTTTCCTACTACCAGAGTCCGAGAAATTACTTTTTATCCGTTTTGATTTGTCCTTTTGAAAAAATCTAAACAGTGTCTCTGTTTGTTCTCTTTTAGTTTAGTTTTCTAAATCAGAGGCGATAGAGAGAAGCGGCTGAGCAGAAACTAAACATTGTCCGTCTCTCCCCCCGTCATCTCTGACTGAGATACAATTTAAAATAGAGGGAGGAATGAAACAAACAGATGGAAGACGTGACCAGTTCTGTTAGTCCGTCTCACCGAAACCTCTGAAGGCTCTGAAAGTCAGCCAGCGGCAGCACATTACAAAAACACTGTTGGGAAATATCTGGTGGTGTAATCATAATAAAGACTGTCCTGCCTTTTCTCCTCCTTGTCCTCAGATCGTCCCGCTCACAGCTGAATCTCAGATGAGAAAAGGTCTCCTGCAACAACATGTCACATGTTTACTCCTAATGTGAAAATGAGAACAGATGATGTGTGTTTCTGTGTGTAAATGGAAGGACTTTTACTGCGGCCCCAAAAGTTAGAAAACATCTTTGATATATCCAAGCATAAATAACAAAAATGTGAGAAGACGAAGTGATGAAGATACTGAAGACAGATAAAGACTTGTTTAAATTGAAGGCTCGTTATGGTGACAGCAGCCGCAAGCACCTTATGAACTTCAGGTTTAGCCACACGTAGCCACCTACCCTGCAAAGTACAGGTTTGTTTTAGACAGTGAGCAGTTAGGGCCCGTGTCCACCAAAGCGTTTTTACCAGCTGAAAACGCCACCTGCTGTTCTTAAAACACCTAGCTGGGAGCGCTAGGGTGCGTTTTGGAGGCGCAGTGTTTTTTTTTTTTTTGAGACGCTGTGGTGGCTGTGATACATAATTTCCGTGGAGACGATGTGTTGCAAGTAGGGTAGCCTACTTAATTTTAGTTAATGTAAACGTAGGCCTACTTGCTCTGGCCTTTGCTCTGCAAGAAGAGAAGGCTGAAACATGAGAGCACAGACTGTCCGTACGTGGGTTCACGCTCAGCGCCTCGTCACGCTCCTGCTGTTCGCGGCGTTCCCATTGGAATGAATTGAAAAAAGATGCTGGCGTCAAAAAAATAAACGCTTTGGTGGACACGGCCCCTTATCATATTGCATCCTCAACTCAGAGGCTGTAAATATCCGTGCCCTCGTTCTCCTTGCTGTACTGTTGTTGTGTTTACAATGGAAACAACAGAGACGGTGACTGCAGCCACTAAGTAGCCGTGTTTTCATCTAATTGTCAAGCGAATTTAAAGCAAAGATAAGTTTTCATCAACTGGTTTAGAGCGCACTCTAGGCAAGACTACATTACGCAGCTACAGCATAGGGTACACAGCTATGGAACAGGATACGCAGTAGGGTATGCGGCTACAGAACAGGGTACGCGGCTACAGAACAGGATACGCAGTAGGGTATGCGGCTACAGAACAGGGTACGCGGCTACAGAACAGGATACGCAGTAGGGTACGCGGCTACAGAACAGGGTACGCAGTAGGGTACGCGGCTACAGAACAGGGTACGCGGCTACAGAACAGGGTACGCAGTAGGGTACGCGGCTACAGAACAGGGTACGCAGTAGGGTACGCGGCTACAGAACAGGGTACGCAGTAGGGTATGTGGCTACAGAACAGGGTACGCAGTAGTGTATGTGGCTACAGAACAGGGTACGCAGCTACAGAACAGGGTACGCAGCTACAGAACAGGGTACGCTGTAGGGTATGTGGCTACAGAACAGGGTACGCAGCTACAGAACAGGGTACGCAGTAGTGTATGTGGCTACAGAACAGGGTACGCAGCTACAGAACAGGGTACGCAGTAGTGTATGTGGCTACAGAACAGGGTACGCAGTAGTGTATGTGGCTACAGAACAGGGTACGCAGCTACAGAACAGGGTACGCAGTATGTATGTGGCTACAGAACAGGGTACGCAGCTACAGAACAGGGTACGCGGCTACAGAACAGGGTACGCAGCTACAGAACAGGGTACGCAGCTACAGAACAGGGTACGCAGTAGGGTATGTGGCTACTATCTGTATAAACTATATATAAATCTATATAAACTATCACTAACCGTAATGACTGTGTCTCACCGTCAGTAGAAAGGCGACTGGGAGCTGATGTAGAGCCTCTGTGTTTGGGAGGCAGGGGAGCTGAGTGTCGACAGAGATGAGAGGGGAAGGGGGAGGGCGGGGAGGAGGAGGAGGAGGCAAGAGGGGAAGGCTCTGCTGCCGCAGGTCAGCACCCCGGGGCTGGTGGCGGAGGGGGGACGGCGAGCGGAGGAGAGGGGCTGCTGGGAGAATCGCAGGAAGCTCCGCTCAGGATGGACGAGTCTGGAGGAGAGGAAACAGAGAGGAGAGGGGGTGAGAGCTGGAGGGAGGGATAGGGATAAAGGGAAGAGAAAGATAGGGAGATAAGGAGAGTCCAGAGAAACAGGAGCAGATATGATGAGAGGAAAGAAAGAAAGGAGACTCAAGATAAAGAGACAGGAAGAAAATAAGCAGAGAAAAAAGAATCTGAGTCCCTCCAGGAATTTTAGATCGTCAAGGTAGAATAAATATTTAGCTTTAATCTCCACAAATACACTTCCTTGTACCTACGGTGGGTAAGACTGTGATTCCCCTCAACCTTCTCAGGCAGAGCTTGACCTCTGATTTACAGCTTACAAAACTGAACCGCTTCCAAAAACACAGCCTACCTCGAAATAATCATTTGGTTCATGGAGCACGTTGGCAGCGCTACACGGGAAGGCAACAAAGGTCACATTAAAGACCCAATTATGGGATAAAATCGCTTCCTGGCTAACAGATAGTAAAAAGGTAATTCCTGAGATCTGAGGAGATTTATCCCTCAAATCATAATTATACATATTTAAAACACATTTGAATGCAAACAGCACTGTCATTTACCGTCTTGTCTTTGACTGAGGTTCAATTCTGCCATCTTTTAAGAAGAATATAATTTAACCCGGTGAGTTTTCTGTCAGTTGCACCACTGAGAACACATGACATGACACCCCTGAGAATATAATGCCCCTGGTTAACATCATTTAAAAGTTTGTCATTATGCTTGCTATGAACTTTAACTGTTTAACAGGCCTTCATCTATAGGAATAATCACAATTTAAATGGTATTGGCCAGTGTAAAATCACAATTATTTTCCTCAGATCATAAAGCCTTTCTGCAAATTCACTGACTTTGGATGGCAATTATCACAAAAACAATCCAAACAAGGCTTCCTGCAGGGACATGGCGAGGAGAGATGAAAAAGGCCTTAGAGGAAGGCAGAGGGGAGGGAAAGAAGATACGGAGCAGAAAGGGAAGACACTTTGCATCTTGTGGGTTGAGCTCTATCAGATATTCAGCTCCCCCTGGAGCTGTGAGCACAATACAAAATAGATGCAGTGTAAGAGAGTTTCATTAAAAGCGTCCACCACAGGGCTGACTTCCAGTATCCAAGGCACTCACAACCTCCCTCTTCCAGTTTTCAAAGCAACATCTCATGTTAAAAAAAACATTTTTAATTGCACTAGGGTCGGCTGGTGGTCGGAGCGTCAGAACGCAGAGACAGCAGGGAGCAAAAACCTGCTTTCTGCGAGTCAATTAAGAAAAACATTTTTACTGTGAATTTCATTTCAGCATCTTTGTGGTCTAAAATGCCCAATCTTCTCGCTCCTTCTCTGTGTGTCCTTGTCATACTGACATGTAGACTTCTTTAAGTCCCACATTTTACTGCATGGTTGAACTGATGCTGCACTCAAGCCCCATCTGAAAGAGACACATTTAGTCTTCTGATCTATTTTCAGAGGGTTGGTCTTCAGGACAGAGAGCTGTGTGTTCCAAGAAAGGCTTGATGGGGGATTGCTCGGATATCTCTGTATCCAGCAAAGCGAGTCAGTGCATGACCAGAGAATGGTGCTATGGGGCCTCTGTTACTCTGTCTGTCGCAAACAGACATTTCAAACTCAAACTGGAATTTCAAAACTCAGTCACCACTGCACAAAAGACTGGATCAACACTGCGGTAAGGATAAAATACTGCATTAAACAGTGCAGTTCAGAAGTTATAAAGCCACCACCGGGCCAATGACAGCAATGTTTTGTCTGAGCTGTATGGAGAATCTTTGCCCTAAAGTGAAAATGAAAGAGCAGCTCCTCCCTCATTCCCACCACTGAGGTGCCCTCCTGCTGTGCCAAGGCCCCGATGCCCACCTGCTCCAGGTGTCCTGATACTTGGTGAAATAAAGTTAAATAAAGAAAACAAAAATACACACATCTGTAACAATTTGACAGACCTAAGAGTACGTCCACACCAAGCTACCTGAATCTAAAAATTGCAGTTTGTGTTAAAAACAATACGTGTCCAGAACATAAGAAATCCACACTGAAATACAAAACTCTCTATTGACCGGAGCGCAAACAACTACAGCTGTGTTTGTGATCAGCTACACTGACATATGATTTGAGGGATCACAGAGTGAGACAGAGGTGGGAAAAAGACCAGGCTTACATCATCATCAGGGCTGTGCGATACGACGCTATCTAGAAAAATGTCTATAGTTTACAATTATGCTCCATCGTTTATTTCGTTGTGTCGCAAATTCCACACTTTACCGTAATATTTTGGTGAGGGAACGGCGCTTTGCACCGCGGTGAAGTTAGTTTGAAGTTGGAATTCAACATCCATCGAATGTCCAACATAAAAACTAATATCCAACTTGAAACCAACTTCACCGCAGTCTGTTCCTCCACGTGTGTTGGGGTTGCGGGAAAGAAATTTGCATTAAAAATGAGGGACGAGCCACACAACACTATCCAGTCATTATGTGTGTGTCAGTCAGGTTAAATGACTTGCCCACGGACGTACAGCTTACTGTAGTTCAACAAGACATGCTGCTGTTGTGATGTTAGCTGCAGCAGCAGGAGAGCTGTGAATGTCACTGTCTGGAGCTGGAGCCGGGTGTTTACTACCTGAGGTGTAGGGGTGTGTGTGAGTGTGTCAGAGTGTGGGGAGAAGAGAATTCGAGGCAGGTGCAAAGCATACTTAAAAACAATAAGAATGTTCGTGGTCATTAAAACCTGAACTTTTCTTTTTGCTAGGGGGGCGGGGGTTTTACAATCACGATGCCGGCTCAACATCGTGATGTCTGTCAGCCATCGCCGATGGCCCAAACCTACTTTGCAGCAGGTCAGTTTGCTAATCCACAACCTAGCTAACATTAGTTATATTACTTGCTGTGTCGTTGTTCACTCTATCATGGTATGGGTCATGGTGCTGTCAAGTTACCTCACCTTTATAATGCAGAGACATTACCTGGGTTACAGTTGGAAATCCCATATTTCATAAAATTTACAAAAAAATTATCGGGATATGAATATTTTTTTCCTATCGCACAGCCCTACATCATCATATCCCAAAAGCTCAGTTTTCCTGATCTGCAGTTAGGTTGGAGGTATTAAAACAGGTGTGAATTCAGCCCATGGACCCAGCTTTCAGCTACGATTGTTCAGTGACCTGCGATCCGTCACCGGCAAAATCCCAGCGCAGCTTCTGGACTCGACCACTGCAGCTGCTGTCTGCCAGCCAACTTCACACGCTAACAGAAGCAACGTAGTAGCTTAGCACCAACCAGTTTAACAGAACAGACCGCGTCCTCCATCTGCACAGTCGGAACACAATCAATTAGGTAACTGGCTATCAATTTTCTTCTTCTTTAAGAGTGGTGGTAATTATTAAATAATGACTATAATTATTATATTATTTAATGTAACTACTGATGTCATTTAAACCCTAATTGCCAACACACAGTGTTAACACGAATGCTTTCTCCTAGATCACTGTCAAACCACTTTGGGTAACTAGACGCTCTAAATGTGAATGATTTAGTAACGCAGGTGTTTACATGCAGATAACTTCACCTCTGCAGGTGATGTTTATTTTCAAATATCTCTATTTCAACAGAACTCCTCAAAGGTATGAGATTCTGTAGCCAGCCAGGCTTTGAGAGACGCTGGCGGAGGCAGTGCTGTGATTGGCTCTGGGGGAGCTCCAGATGGCACGAGTTCAGAATCTTAACAGCTGCCGTCACTTTCTGTCGTATTGCTCTTGAAGTCAAACAAGTTTTCTTTTGTTTGATTCAAATATTCCTACAGGATTCAAGTGATCTGGTAATTAAAGAAAGTGTGACACCTCCTGAACTTCTGAAAACTTCTCTTACTGCCACCCAAATCAGTCGGGTGATGACCTGCATGACTAAAAGAAAAGGAGGAACAGAGCTTCCTCTTATCGCGTATAATTTCTGTACTGTGGTGTTCAACCTACTTCAGTTTCCTTTATCTGCAATCTGGATATGAAACACAAGAGGAAGAGGAAACATAATGTGAATCTGAATAAATGATGGCGGTTAGATTAAGACTGTAAGAATGTAATAATGCAAACGCAGATTATTGTGCCGCTTCAGCTCCAGGCTGCCGGAGCCAATCCAGTTCTGTCTGCCCTGCTGTATGAATACAGATAAGTGTTTAAAATGCATGAATAAAGTAATGGGATGTCATCCTATACTACCTGCTGCACTGGTTCTATGGACTGTAGGTTATTAACGTCGCCTCACGTTTTGATAGTGCCAACAACAGTTCCCTCTGCACCAGTGTAAACAAAATTAACTCCAGAGCTTCTACTGTATCTGGAGATTAAAGTAAATTGAATTATAAATTGATACTTGGGTTACATGGAGAGAGAGTGGCTAACAGGCCAGTTAAGTCAATATCAATGGTGACAGCTCCGAAAGCAAGTCGCTGTGGGGGAGAAAAGTCCTATTTAACATTTAAATAAAACATTCTAGTGCACTCGGAGAGGAGAAAGGGACTGAGCCAACCTCCCAACACGTCCCCTCCAAATAACACTGAGCACTGTTTCTTCTGCTTCAGCCATAGAAGTAATCATGTGCCTCTTTCTTCTTCTGTCCTTCACTGTTCTGCACTTTCCATCCTTGCAACACACGCTGACTGTAACATCCTTTTAAACAGTAGTTTAAGCACACTGGGTTCACCGTACAAACTGAAGACAACTCAGGATTTGTAAGTATAAATTTACCAAACCGACCATTTAAATCCTGCCGACCTCGTTTCAGTCACATTGGTATAAAATATATTTATACACTATACTGTAAGTGTGTGTGTGTGTGTATATATATATAATATAATCATCTTTTCTTTTTTTTTTAGCTTTTTATCATTGCTTTTAATGAAATATTTCCATTTAACTCTTAACCCTGATTGTAACACTAACTTATTATATTTTATGTTGCGTTTAAACTTTTTTATATTCCCTGTTGCTTTTATGTTTTATGTAAAGCACTTTGAATTACCTTGTTGTTAAAATATGCTATACAAATAAACTTGCCTTGCCTAAGATTCTCTTCCTTTTACTTGCGCTCTTTTCTCTTTATACATGTCGTTAATATCGTTACGAGAGCCTGAGGACAAAGAATTCATCCCTTCACACAGGCTGTTGCCTACTCCTTAAAAGTACATAATAAAAAAAGTCGGCCTAGCATGTTAATAAAAAGTAAAATTACTCACTTTTGATTTTCCTGTTTTAGCATAAGAACCAATGTTCCTAACAACATTATATTATTAATTATTAATAAGAGCTCCACAGCGAGGACGGAGAATGTTGCGCACCGGTGTACAGATTAAGATATTGTTTCAATAAGCATTACCGAGATAAGTGACAATAAATCGTCATTTTGATTTCAGGTGATACAGGTCTTCACCCTGAGCCAACGCTGACATCACAACAAAGCTGAAGTTAGCTCATTTTGGATGAAGTCATCTTACTGTAGCTAAAAAGCAACATTTCAAGTGGCAGCAACTAAAAACAAAGGGCTTACCTCAGTGTGCATTACTACCAGAGTCTCTAAACATGACATCAAGCAGGATCCTGTGATTGGAGTAAAGGAAATAGAGATCGCCAAACAAAAACTCTTCTTTTCACTGACAGACACCTGCTGAAGTAGGAAAAGGCTTGTGTTTACCCACCGACATGGCCAGGTAGGCTGTCACTTCAGTGCAGGCTGGAAAAGTCCACCTGTCAGGCCCTTGAAGCCGGCAGCTAATCATCACAATAATGTGAGCAAATGTGTCGGTTTGGCTACCATGTGCTCTACAGCTTAAAACTAATTTTCCTCGCTGACAGAAACAAACTGTGTGTGAGAAATTTGGTTAATGACTCGTTGGGATCCTTTCCATGATGTCGGCAGACACCTGGTGTGACAGTCTGAGCCTGTTGGTGGCAAAAAGAAGCACTTTTTGTAGACGTCATTTTGATGGCCGCAACTTTCCCAAAAGGAATACGTGACTCTAAATAGCTCTTAGGTGTGAGTGTGTGGATGTGACTGGTTGTTTGTCTATGTGTGGCGCAGCGCTGTACTGGCGACATGTCTATAGTGTACCCTGCCTTTCACCTGAAGCCAGCTGGGATCGGCTCCAGCCCCCCGCGACCCTGTACACAGGATAAGCGTTTGACGATGGATGGACTTTAAAGGATAAATTCCTGTGCTAAGTTCTAATTAACTTTTCTGAGAGGAGCAACGGAAAAGCATCCTGATCGGAAACATCACTTGCATGGGAGGTTCACGACATCTGTGATATCGCTGAGGTGAGGCACCTGCAGAGCCTGTCTGGCAAAAGATCCAGAAGTATCCGCTGTCGCACCACCAGACTTCAGAGCAGCTTCTTCACCTCAGGCTGTGAGGCTCCTAAATTCCACCCTCAGCCCTGCACCACGTACAACAGCTTTATTTCTATGACTCATACAGTCGATGGATGAATATAATATCATTTTTCTATATAACCTTTATTCTGTGAGCAGCATAAAGGGAACTCCAACTTAATCGCGTTATACAGCCCCGTGTTGTAAAACGATAAATACATCTACCCTGTACCTTGTAAAATGACACGAAGGTTCCAACAGGAACATCCTGTGCCAGAACGTTAAGCTCCTCCGCCCATATGAAGCCATACAGCACAGACTGCCTCACCTCTGCCTGAGCTAACAAGTCTACTTGTTTATTCATATAGCATGTGGCTGTATGTGTGTGTAAATACACACACATACAGCCCACGCTGAAGCCTTGACGGATCGTATAGTATCTGAAGGAGAAATGTCAGCTCGTGAACACAAACCATGTGAACGTTAAGCTGGATTTATGCCTCTGTGTCAGGTGTAAAGCAGCGTGTGTGTGTGTGTGTGTGTTGTGTGTGTGTGTTGAATAATACCCAGGTTCCACAGCGCGGTCTGTGCAGCAAGCTCTTTGGCATCATCCAGCAGCACACACAGCTTGTCCGGGATGTATGTGCTTCGTGTTGACGGCATCACCACCTGCACACACACATTATGATGAGCACTTTTGGTCCTCAGTTTGTTGTTTTAGATTTATTGCTGACACTCTGTATACAAATAAATATGTACGTATGTATTTAGCCCGTGTTTATTATTCTGTTATTTCTCTCTAATGGCTGCTGCCAGCCATATTTCCATTAAAAAGGCTTTACAGTATGTTTTAATTTATTTTTTATGCATGTATGATGCATGCATCTGTAGATAAAAGCTATACAGTATATGACGTCATAGATAGACAAGCCGATCGATCACAATAGACGTCGTTGTCCATGCGCAGCAGTTAAACGTGTAATTGTGCGTAGGGATTGGTGTAGGTACCTTGTACAGGAGCAGCAGCTTTCCGTCCTGCCCAGGTGTGGAGTACAGGTGGTACTCCGGCTGCGACCAGTAGTTTTTGCGGCAGTAAAAGTCGAGCAGACTGACAGCGGAGCCGATCTGACCCTGCTTCAGGGCCAGCAGGCTGGTGGGGGAGAGGGGGGTGCCAGGAAACAGGGGAAACACACACCTGTCCAGGTCCTCTGGTGATACAGAGAAACACACACTCGCAGGATTAGTATTAGCGCTCATTAGACATGTTGACTTCACGCCTGTGTGTTGGTCAGTTGAACAAGATACAACTGTGAGCTTAATCCATGACGAGAACAAACCGCAGGGCTGTAGCTCTAGTTCAGAACTTCCTTTCATATGATTCATGTTTTGCCTCAAGGTTTTTGGTATTAAAAAGGAATACGATAGTGATTTTCATTTCCACTGATGCTGAGGTGGAGGGTCCCTACAGTCCCTCAACTCACCTCGACTCTACTGCAGACTACTGATTGTTCAAAGAGAATCGTCACTATTCACTACATGATCATTGCGCTCACTAGACGAAGTGTCCTGAACAAACCCGCCATTTTTATATATGTCATATTATGCTCATTTTCAGGTTCAAAATCCTATTTAGGGGTTGTACCTGAACAGGTTTACACACATTTTATAGGAGAGGTGTGTGCTGCAGTTCAGTGTTTTTCCACCAGTGTTTTGAGGGCATGTCGGACTAGCTGCTTGGCGAGCGTTACGATGTGTGCTTTCTCGTGACATCACAAGAAAGCGGAAGAAAAGGCTGGACTACAAACAAGTTTTCAGGCAATTCAGAGCAGTGATTGCTGTGGGAGATGTAACTCCCTCTGGGGTGGACTTTGGGCATTTTCACGGGAAAAAGCATAATATGGCCTTTTTAAATAGTTTAGCCAGAGATTGCAAGATACGATACTCTCTGTACTTTACTATTATTATTAGGGCTGTACATTACAGTTGGGCGATGTCTAAAAAATTTCCATCGGACTATGTCTACACTGAAACATCGGGATGGACGTTGCAAGTCGCGGACCAGGTAAAGCAGCAGTGAACACAAAGGGTGCAGATGTTGGTTTTGGTTGTTTCATAGGTTGCGTCATTAACAAGCCCACAAGCGGCTCACTGCTGCCGTGAAAACGGATCACGGGTGGAAAAAACACGGAAAAGGCGAATTCTGCGTCTTTTAGGCGACTTTATAAAACACACTGCTGAAGGAGAAAGTGGAGTAGACGGGCAGGGCACGCCGGTCGGTATGTTTACCTAAGGTGTAGGCCTCTTGAGTGTCTGAGTGTGGGGAGAAGAGAATTCTGAGGAAGGTATAAGCATATTTAAAATTTATAATAATAATGTTCCTGGTGATTAAAACCTGCTTTCAAAAAAGTGTTACAATCACGATGCCTGTTCAACCATTGACCAACTGTCAGCCATCGCCGACGGCATCGTCTTTCGGCCCAACCCTACAATGCATATTACTCGATTAACAAACCAATTTATCCAAAATAAATACCAAAAACATGTCTAATCAAATTTTATTCGATCACCCTGATGAAGCACATTAGAATAATGACAATAGCAAGAGTATGAATCAAATTTCCACGTCACTGATGTGTGTGATAACAATAATAACAGTAATCAGGCTACTTTACTTAAAACGTTAAATGTTTCTGACATGGATTTATTATAGTAATATGCAGTACAATAATCAAATGTATCTCTGCATCAGTGTGGTGCAAGAAAACACTGAATCGACTCACAGACTGTGCGGACAGTCACAGATCGTCTGTACTGATAGATTCAGCTGTTCTCTCGCTCATGCGTGGCCGTTAAATAAACACAAAATATGAAACGGCCCAACGTTAGATGACACGGTGTAACGTTACGTTACCATGACAGCAGTGGGGCAGAAATTACTTTTAACATCAAGGCGATGAAGAGATACTTGTCCTCGTGCTTGTGTGGGGACAGAAAGTAAACAGGATTTGCGGTGCTGCTGTCAGTGCTCTGGGATACTTTTGCTTCTCGTGTTCGTGCTGCTTCACGTATTCGTGGACAGCAGTTGTGCTGCAGTGCAGCTGTTTCCAGTTCACAGAGCTCACGGAGCAGCACGTTGCTGAGTGTCTGTCTGAAATACTCCAAACTTTAGACTGTAAAAGCGAGCTCTTGTAGCTGGAGCTTGTCCGGGGGAATCCCTGTTAACACCAGATGTAGCGACGCTTCGACGCGTGTAATGAGAGTCAACGCATTTACGTAATTGAAAACAGAGGACAGGTCACCAAAAGCGAATCGCGTACAGTCAAGCTTGGTAAGCACCATAAGACTCTGCTCAACTTGGCATCTGATTGGCTGGTGAGGCTGCTTGTCCCGCTACTGGCCTCTTAACAATCATGGCTGCTACATACCACTAGAGAGGTAAGTGACTTTCTTCTACTAAATACTAAACTCTTCATCTCTTGTGACAAATCGATTTTACTGTAACTCATTAAAACTCTGTTATCAAATTCAAACTTCAGTTAGAAACGAGAGCTTGAGCAGCAGAACAGGAGCTGAGTCAGTCACATTTTCTATCCGCCTAACTTCATGTCTCCCTCTCAGTTCATCAGTCTCCACATCTCCTCCGGAATACCTTCAATTGCGTTCCATCAGTCCAAGTCTCTTCTTCATTTACAATATTTCAACAAAATTAAACTGTGACATTAAGAGTTTCTCCAAAAAAGATCACAACCGTTTTAAATTCAAGTCGTTGAGAAAAAGAGTTTAGCTGAAAAAAAACGGCAATAAATCATCACCTCTCAGAAATGCCGCACGGCCGTAATTCAGAATGAAATATCACCAGCATTAGCTGCTCTTAGCCTTTATGCTAATTATTTCATTCATTAAGACCAAGGGAGTACATTAATTAGCACATTCTTCTAAGTCATCTGAAAACACATAATATGCATTT